CCTTGTGAAACCTATATCAGGTAAAATAACCCATTTTTACCTATTTTTGAGTAAAATTAAAGAATTGATAACCCAGTCAAAATCCACCCAAATTATGTCAGAATAACAAGATGTACTTTATTTACCTGCTCTATATGTTTATCTACTTAAGAATAGTATAAAACATTCTTGTACTTCGAAGAATTTCTAGAAAACCTTTTCAAAAACCAAGGTATTTTCTGTTGATTTGTAAAGCTTATATTGAACTGTATAGTATTGAGCAGGTAAAATAGAGTACACCTTGTTATTCTGACATAATTTGGGTGGATCTTGACTGGGTTATCAATTCTTTAATTTTACTCAAAAATAGGTAAAAATGGGTTATTTTACCTGATATAGGTTTCACAAGGTTTTCGGAACTTAATTGAAAAACAAATGTTGCCACGAGATTCAGCGTGGTCGATTACCTATGTTTCCGTTCGTTTTCAGAATTACCACACCTAAGGAGATATCGATCCTGGGCCTCTCAGGAAATCCGATGCCACATCCGAAACAGGAAAAATTAAGAGTTCGCTTAGTTCTCATTTTCGAGAGGACACATTGGACTATCTGCCTATGAAGAAAAACTGATAGATTGGTATCTCAGTTTCCGGAGATCCGGACTTGCTTTAAAAAGATCCCCTAGAAAACCGGTCTTCTGAATGCTTTCGGAAAACTGTTTTCTTATGAAAACATAGGCTAAACTGTCCTCTTCTCATCGCTGAAAACCGCTGGTCTCTAGCTTTTGTCGTCTTTGAGTTAATGATCATACGCTAATTAGTGTGTCTGGTGTACAAAGAGTTAATGACTTTCCATAAACCTTTCGGTCTCTAAATCCGAAAAAAGAAAAAACTGGTAGTTTGCAAAACTAATTGGACTTACACTCGGAAGTATCCTCTATCCGCTAATGACACTATTAAGTACAGCCGTTTACTGTTTTTTGGGATCATTTTTTGAAAAAGAATGGTACAATAAACACCAGAATCCCTCCCGAGTTCTCTGTAAAACAGTTTTTCGGCGAAAGATTTCTGGTCACCCAAACTGAAAGTGACCAGAAAAATATTTTAACACTGTAGGTTTGCAGAGGTACTCGAAGTCTATAAAAAAACTCTGTTCCAAACTACCAAGTCCTTCTTAGCCAAAATCGTGGTTGTTCACTTTTTGACTTAGGATCGAAAATGCGACTGGCTCTGCTTTCCTGCTAAAGAATTATAATTTAGTTTAAAAATGTATTGAAACATGGGTTTTCACGTATGCTTTATCAACTGGTATCCTTAAAAAGTGGTTTTTGACAATTTTTAAGCTTGGGCGTCTGTTCTTCTCTATTCTCCTCTATTCTTCTGGAAATCCTTTGCTGAGCCGGTTTTCAGTAAACTGAGCCGGCCATTCGATTCAGGGTGCCAAAATACGTATAATCGTATAACCTGAGGCTTTATGTACTAGCCATAACAATTCTAGAGATATGTTTGGGGGTGGGACAAATGTTAGGGGTGGGACATTTTGATGTATTTTACAAATTTCTTCCTTTAGAAAGAAGCTGAAGCCTTGCTATTTACAGCATAACTTGTGCTACCCATTCGACATATATGGTAAAAGAACGAGTTCTCAATTCCGTGTAGTTCGGTCAGGGGAGAGTCAAAAGGGGGTGGGACAAATTGTATGTCACATGCCACTGGACGTCAGTAAAATGTCAATTACTCAAAAACGCAAAAAGCTAGTAACTTGCGGTTTCAACAATCTATAGTGCCTACTTTGGTAAATCTTTGCATGGAAAAATATTTGACTTAAAGTGCTTATTGGCTGTACAGTAGACTCAAAAGGGGGTAGGACACGATTTTTGAACTTTTCGAGGACCAGAAATTTCATCGAAGTTTTCACAGAAACTAAAAGAGATTAGGCAAAACTAAGACTGCAGATTGACAGAGCAGATCAAATACTGCACAAAAAGCAAAAAGATTTTGTTCCGCTGCCCCTTAAGAGAAGAAAAATGTTAATTAAGAAAAAGGAACGTGCAGGAACCACTAAGAAAAGAAGGGAAAAAGAACCCAAAAACAAAGTGTTTTGCTTACTGTACGCTAAGGAAATAAGACATAAAAGAGATCTTATCAGTATATATAGAGTAAAGTGTCCCGAATAAAACGGCATAAGCTTCTAAAAGCTCGATTTGGTATTAACGGAGAATCATGCATTTCCATTAGCTTAAATCGAACGGTACAAGAATCACCAGAATCACTCATATATTCAGATATTGTTATACTCTTTTAGAAAAATGTCTCACCTCGAACATTTACCTGATGAATTGTTATTACTCATTTGCACTTATCTGACACCATTTCATGTTTTATATGCACTCGATGGTCTCAATCGGCGTCTCACTCAAAGTATATCCGCTTACACTTTCTCAAAACGTCAGACTCGCTATACTATGAAGAATTGCTCTGTTGTTGTGGAATGTTGTGGAAAAAAATTGGAAAGGATGTTCAATCACTGGTGCTAACAAATGAACCTAATCCGTTGTATCTAGAATGTCTTAACAAAATATGGAATGCAGAAGAGTTATTTCCAACTCTAAAACGGCTAATATTATCTCAATTGAACAGTGTAGAGCTATTTGAATTTTATGTTTCAAAACTTCATAAGTTTAAATATCTGGAAGAATTTATTGTTGATTGCGAATATTCGGTACATTTCCGAAATGAGTTATATTTAATCGAAAACATTTTCTATAAAACGTCATTAAAGATTATATCACTCAAATTAACTCCGTCATTTGTATTGATTCCAAACATTAAGCCGTGTCCTCACATTCATCATCTTTCCTTAATATTAAATAATATGGACGCACTATTTGAGTTGATCAAAATAATTCCTAAAATTCAAAAGCTCAAAGTCAAAATCTATTTTTTCGAAAAAACATTTTATCAGCTCGATACCAAAAGATTAATAAATCTGTCACACTTGACCAGTTTATATTTGACATTCTGTGGTGTAAAAATAGACTTTAACGTCTTTAAAACACTTGTATGCAACTTTGCTGAACTTGAACATTTTTCGTTTGATATCGAGACATATAATGATTATTCAGTAGAGTTGAGTGAACTTGACGAAAATTATCTAAATGGAAATAAATGGCAAGCACTTCTATCTCAGCTGCTTATGCTAAAACTATTTGAATGTACAATGAGAATAGTGATACCAAGAAACCTGAAGGGTAATCATCCAGATCCAAAACAGATATTAGATACATTCAGATCAAAATATTGGTTATACGAAAGACACTGGTATTTTGGATGTTACATCGATGATGGGTACAAAGAGATTCGTCTTTTTACAATTCCTTATCCAAATACATTAGCAAGAGTGTCTTCAATTAATGTAAACAATTGTCAAACCACAGGATTAGATAATTTACCATTGTTCAAAAATGTACAAACACTGTACACCGATAACAATGTTAATTTAAACCAGTTTTATAATGTTCGCAAATTAGATATATCAGATGTTGAAACTACAGCTGATACAGACCTCGATAACCTTTCCTTACCTCATGTCCGTTATTTAGCTATATGTGAAAAGAACATGAATGTTTTCATTCAATTAATCAAATGTGGATCGAATTTAACATCAGTCTGTTATGCCACGCACTACAGTCGTGCCATAAGGGAGAACATCATAGTTAAGGTTATTGCGCAAGCATATAGTCTAAGTAATTGCGCAAGAGTATATTCAAGGTTATGGTGTAAGACTATGGTCAAGGTTATTGCGCAAGAACATTAAAGGTTATTGCATAGACCCTAGTCAAGGTTATTGCGCAGTCTACTCAAGACTATCGCGCAATATCTCGTATATAAATACATCAGTTTTATTGTTAAGGATATCTTTTTTATTTGTAAATAAACGTTAGGTGAGAAAGATCTTAGTTTACCCGGGAACCTAACATTGGTGCACGAGCCGGGGTTAATACAAGTAAGTGATTTAAGTTTATGGTAGTAACTAGAGCACATCAACAATCACTTGACGGTCGAAACCGACAACTGTATTTGGAAGAACTGAATCGACTCAGCGATATCGAAATCGAACATACAACCCAAACACAGCCGATCGAAGTATTTATTGTTCGTCGACCATTACCATTTGAAATGGCAGAAAAAGCATTGGCATCGCGCGTTAACAAACAATTGGATCAATTACCAACATTCAGTGGAAAACTGAACGAAAATGTGACCAAGTGGCTGAAAGATATTACGAACGAATTAAATCTGGCGAAGTTCGAAGATAGCCAAAAATTGGGGGTTATTCAAACATATTTGGTTGATGATGCAAGAAAATGGTTCATCAATAATGTGCGAACATTCGATACATGGTCAGAATTCAATGAAGCAATTGAGAAAACGTACTCATTGTCGTTTGCAAAAGAAGTAGCTATTAGTCAAGTCGGTCAGCGTCATCAAGGTTTAGATGAGACTGTCATGCACTATTACAACGACATGATGGAATTATTTGATGTTATGGACAATCGAATGAGCGACTCATTGAAGATCAGCTATCTAAAAAATGGATTAAAATTGTCATTGAAGAAGGAAGTGTCAAGAAAAAATCCACAAACACCATCTGAGTTTATCAAAGCGGCTCAAGAAGAAGAAAGCCTTGATTATTCCATGACCGCATCAATGCACAACATGGAAATTCAAAATAATGCGACAAAAAGAATACCAACTACGACAATGATAAATTCACCACCAATACACCAAAACTATCATTATACGTCCTATCCGCAGCGTCAGTTTCAACACGATGGCGAAAATTATTACGCAAGGACGACATCATCGACCATATCAATATTACCAACACCAACCACCACTATATCAACAACAACTATGCTACAGATGCAACAAGAGCGGTCATTTTGCTCGTGACTGTTGGAATTCAAAAAACTGTTAATGGAGTCACATGGTGGTAGTGTCTCCAAACAAAGTCAGTATCCACTAGAATTACTCTTCATCAAAACAGTGGTGAACGGAAACACCATTCCAGCGATGGTGGATACAGGCGCTACAACATCATTGATCAAACTATCAACATTGAAACAAGTGAATTATCACCATCACATACGAGGAACAGTGAGCGATATTACATTGGGTGATGGCAAAACAACTTTGTGGCAATATGGTTCAGTGGACTTGTGTGTGAAAGTTAATGATATGAAAACGAAGGTCAAGGTAACGGTAGTAGACGAGTTGGCTGCTGACTTCATTCTCGGGCTGGATTGGATCAAATTCTACGACGTGCATATCCTGCCAGGTAGAAAACAACTGAAAATTCATCATCGGCGACAACAAACGACAGTTGGATTTGTGGAAGATGCACAGATCGATGTCAAACTGGCCCAACAATATGACATTTTACCTGGTGTGAACTGTATTATACAAGTTAAATCTTCGATAATAAATGCAAGTCACCTCTATTTTCAAGCTCTGCACCACCATGTTCAACAACAGAAAGGTATAACAGTAGAAGACGGACTTCAACAGCGCAAAGACATCCAGCAAGAGATCGATAAAATGCTAAAAAATGGAATTATAATACCATCACATTCACCTTGGTCATCTCCGGTCATATTGTTGAAAAAGCCAAATGGCGAATTCCGATTTATTGTCGACTACCGAAGATTAAATGCTATCACAAGAAAAGATTCATATCCTCAACCAACAACCGAGGAACTTTTACAAAGATTGGGTGGACATAAGTGGTTTACCAAATTGGATCTGACGTCTGGATATTTCCAAATTCCAATTCAAGACTGCGACAAAGAAAAAACAGCATTTTGTACCCAAGACGGTCTCTACCAGTTTGAGGTATTATCCATGGGGCTCATGAACGCCCCCCCCCAACATTTCATCGTGTCATGAACAACATCATTGGCTACAAACGATGGGATTTTGTGGTAGTGTATCTCGATGATATTATCATCTTCTCCAATTCACTCGAAGAACATCTGAAACACCTGAATGAGATTTTATCAACATTGGACCAACATCGGTTTCAACTGAATCACAAAAAATGTATCGTAGCTGTTCAACAAGTGGAATTCCTGAGTCATATTATTACATGTGATTCCATTCAACCATCGAACGATCGTATTCAAGCAATACTGAATATGCCAGAACCACGAACATTGTCACAAGCAAATCGATTTATTGGCAAGATTGGATGGTACCGAAAATTCATTCCACATTTCGCTAAAATCGCAGCTCCCATCCACAAAGTGACAAACAAAACAAAGAAGACGAAACATCAATTTTACTGGCATCAAGAACAACGTGAATCATTCAGGAATTTGACGAAAATTCTTATGACACCTCCGCTATTGTTGAAATACCCACATCCAACAGCGGAATTCATCTTAGCAACGGATGCATCAGAATATGCCATTGGCGGTGCGTTGAAACAAATAATCGATGGAAAAACTCATTACAATTATTACTTGAGTCGATTGTTATCTCCAGCGGAAAAGAAGTACAAAACAATTGAACGCGAAGCATTGGCAATATTCTGGTGCATGAATAAACTGCAACAATATTTGGGTGGCCGAGATGTTACGATTCATACGGACCACAAGCCACTCGAACAATTTCACAAAAAGAATAAATTCAACTGTAAACGAATAGAGGAATGGCTTTTGAAACATCAAGATATCATTTCCCAAATGATCAACGTGAAATACAAGAAAGGATGCTTGCATGGCGATGCCGATGGCTTCTCACGTCCAGAAGTAGACGGGAAAATGGCTGAATCATCATGCGACAATGACGGACATCTTGCTCTCAATGCCGTTACTCGATGTATGACACGGAAAACCATAAGAGCGAACCACGATGACATATCTTCCGCATTAACCACAACCCAGTTAGGGTCAGACAAGAAGCTACCGGCGACATTCGACTTTGGAATTGAGAGAATACGAGAAGAACAAAAGAAGGACAAAAATGTTCAACAAATTCTGAAAAATATTCGACAAGAGCCATCTTATGTCATCGAAAACAGCGCGTTGTATAAAATTGTCTCTCACCCTCGTTCACTAACTAATATGAAACTGATCTATATTTCATCGTCAATGAGAACCGAAGTGTTGACCAGTTACCATGATCATCCAACTGCAGCTCATTTTGGCGTCAGAAGAACATGGATGAAATTACGAGATAGATGTTATTGGCCAAAGATGCGCGAAACAATCGAAACTTACATTCGATCATGCGAAAAATGTGCCAAGTTCAACATTAAATGAACAAAGCCACCCGGCAAACTCAATCCGATCGTGCCACCAGAAGGATCGATGGAATTGATTGGCATGGATTTTTGGGGGCCAACAAGACAAGAATCAGCAAATGGCAATAAATACGTACTGGTCATAACCGATTATCTGACAAAATTCGTGGTGGCGAAGGCGTTACCCAACAACACGGCCCAAACAACTGCTCAAGTATTTGTGGAAGAATTCATATTTAAATTTGGTGTGCCAAATCGGCTTATTACCGATCAAGGAGTCCACTTTAACAATGAATTACTCAAAAATGTGACAGCAATGATAGGCTTCGATCATATCAAATCAACACCGTATCATCCACACACAAATGGTCAAGTGGAGCGGTTTAATGCAACATTCCATCCACAACTGGCGAAGTTGTACGACGAGAATTTGAACAATTGGGACGAATATTTGCCAGCTGTTGTTTACGCATACGATACTGGACACAATGCCACACAACCGCGTATTCACCCTTTCAACTGATGTTTGGCCGAGAACCAACCTTGCCACTAGCCCAGAAACAGCCAACGTTCACATTGACAAAACCGAATGACTACTGGCCCAGAATGATGCGGTCATTAAAAATGTATCATCAAGCGGCACGACAAATCATTCAAATTCAACAACAAGTAACAAAAGCACGATTCGACTTAAACCGTTCTGATCCAATCTATAAAGCAAATGACTCAGTGTTATGGCGAAAACCTAGTCATATTTCAAAATTCGAAGAACGTTACTCGGGTCCACATATTATCATTCAAGAACACCATCCGAGCTACATCATACAAGATCGAGAAACGGCGATTCAACGGAAGGTTCATACAGCTGATTTACAACCAGTGTTCGAAAGATGTATCTAACACGTTGGTGATTATCCACAAGATATCGAACAACAGTGACAATTTCTCCATCAGCAAAAACAAACCGAATGGTGAAGGAAACAACGACTCATTTGACTCGAGCAAAGTACGAAGAACGCGGCCGCCAATGGTTCAATGACAATGGTAGTGGCAGTACTGGAACATTGAACAACAGAAGGACCTTTGAAAGGCATTCAGTTTCTGATGAACGTGGAAGTTCATCTTGTTTCATGGGGGGGAAGTGTTATGCCACGCACTACAGTCGTGCCATAAGGGAGAACATCATAGTTAAGGTTATTGCGCAAGCATATAGTCTAAGTAATTGCGCAAGAGTATATTCAAGGTTATGGTGTAAGACTATGGTCAAGGTTATTGCGCAAGAACATTAAAGGTTATTGCATAGACCCTAGTCAAGGTTATTGCACAGTCTACTCAAGACTATCGCGCAATATTTCGTATATAAATACATCAGTTTTATTGTTAAGGATATCGTTTTTATTTGTAAATAAACGTTAGGTGAGAAAGATCTTAGTTTACCCGGGAACCTAACGAAGTCGTTGTATGGGCAGTTTTACAAAAATTTATAGCGCTACTCGTCGAAAACTTTAATTCTATCAAACATGTTTTGAAAAATATTAAAAGAATTCAGTTGTGCATATGGAATAATAATGAAATATCAGAGGATACTATTCGACAACTAGCAATGTTATTTCCATATATAAAATATTTGACTTTCGAATTTCGTATAAAAGTTGATCAACAAATAGTTATTGCTGCATTGCTGAAACATTTTAATTCGGCAATTTGTTTTAATTTATCATTCGAGTTTAATGAAATATTTCAAAATATAAAATCAGATGTAAATATGTGGTTGTTACAGAACACTATACTGAACGAAAGAGATAACAAAGAGTTTTATGCTGAACATATTATTCACAAGAAGATACAGTCGTGTGAAATATATCCAGGACATCCTCAAACGATCAATATTTGGCTATGAGTAAGTTCTTTTTGCGAATGTATGAAAAACAACGTTAAAAACTTTTTTGAAGAGCTTTTTCTGATCGAATTGCTATACGAAATATAAAGAGATTATTTCTTTCACATCCTTCCCATCCAAATGAAGTCCGTTCGAAAAAATAAAAAGCATTGATCCTTATTCTACAACATAGGATTTGAATTAGGGACTGTTTAAAGTTTCATTGCTCTCATGTGAGCGCAAGTTTTATCTAAAATAGCAATCGATTTGGCGTCAGCGACAGGCTAAACGTGTTAGAAAAGAAAACTTGTATACAGTACGATGTACATTATAGCAATATATACAGAAAAGTTAATGCCGCATAACTGATGTAACTTTGAAACCAAAAACGTAAATAGAGATGAGCAATTATTGAGTATTTTTTGTTCTTAATATTGCTGTGCAATTCTCCCTTCACTTGTTTTTATGCTGAATGATTTTTGTGAAACTGTCTTTATGTTAAAAATCTGTGATAAGCGAAGAGTTTTATTCCTGTAAGCAAGTATTTCTTTTCT